TATATATATATATATATATATTATTGCGGTGTTGCACTCATTATATCTGTGCATAAAGATTTTGTTTCTCCGTTTTTTGATATCGAATTTTAAATTTTTATTAAGTCTAATGATTACGAGGCATATGGTCATTAAGAGCTACATTTCTTTCGGTTTTATGTTAATAATCTTCTCGTATCTTTTGCAGAAATTTCCAAATGCTAACGCGGTGAGCAGTAAACATCTTTAGAAATTAACTGTGACATCTTCTACCTTATTCCTCGACCTTTGGTGTCCACAAAGTGTAAACAGGTATGTATATGTTCCAAATTGCTGTGTTGAGTACACTGCTTTTATGAGGACATTGATAAGTCATTCTACCATCTTTCTGCTGGTGTCCTTCTGTCCTCAAGCAGGTGTAACTCAAACGTATAATTTGATCCGATTATCCTCTTTCAATAAGTCGTCTTCATAAAAAAAGACAACATATACGAGTATCTTTGAAGTTTGCCAAGAGATTGAATGGCAGTAGTTAAGTTTGGGTGCAGCATTATTTCCATATTGTACAGATATATCTCGTTAACAGAGATTATTGACTTTCCTGTATATACATTGTGATTTATCGTTGCACTGTCTGCATTATACGATTTGAAGGATCCCTTGCTGTATTTGCTTGATTAAAACACCAAAACATACACAGACTGCTATTCTATTCTGCCTAACACTTCATATTTAATTATTGACTCAATGTCATTTAATTATTAACATAAGTAGAATACACTTCATATTTATTCTTATCACTTAACTAAACTCATTTTTGGAATTTTTCAACAAATTATTGCTGTAATAAACTCAAACCTTAATGTTCTCATCTCATGTATCAGTGTATAATTTTTATAGAATGTCATAATATCAACGCACAGTTAATTTAGGGAATCTAATTGTGCTGAGATATATGATGAAAAAGAAGCAAATTTATTAATATTTCTATATACCAATTCATGCTGAGTGGAATTCTTTGGAATTTAGTGGTTTATCTTTGGTATTACGGTAGTGGCGCCATCTTTCAGAATTTGGAGTTATTACTGGTGATTCAACCATTGATAGTACAATATGTCTATAATTTTCGACTTAAAGTATCCACAAATATTTTTGCTTGAACTGGAAACAAAAAGTGCATAGATTATGTACCACTGATTTGACTTGTGATGTCCAGATAACTACCTCACAGTTAACACATGATTGTTAACCAGATAATGATATGATTTATTCAAACTGATTTTGCGATTTATTGCTAAAGTTTTGAAATTAATTGTTTTCTACTATATTATGAGTATTACGAGACGTCTATTATAATGGAACACTGTTGAGTTTGAGCTGTGTTCTTCATATCGTATTTTTTAATAGGTCAATCCTGTAAACAAATTTACCACAAAATAAATAAAAGAATGCATATAGATTGCGTGAAATGGTAAATTTAATGTTTGCATTGGGAAAGTGGCGTAGTGCTGTTTATGTTTGCAATATGGAAATCATTCACAATAGTTTGAAATAGTAGCTCAAATTCTTATTTCGCTTGATTTTTTAATGGTCTACACTCGAATGCGTAAGACCCTGAGTTTTCTTTGTCCACACACAAAAGACTAACGGAAAAGAAAATTAATTTCACCTCAGTGTCATAAATTATTCACTAAACATGGAATTAAATATAATTTTCTTTTCCGTTTTAAATGTCCTATCAGAAAATATAATTCGGTTTTTGAATAAATATTCTGTATTTTTATTTAAATACAGTGTTAAGTGTCCTGTTCTTCTCTTCTTGCCGTGGATCAGAACACACTTTACGTTCATCCCTTTTCTGTCGGTTAGTCTGACATACTTTTCCTTACTAGAATGTACTTATGTAACCCAATCTTCGTTTATTAATTTCATGTATTCTGAACCCATTCAATTTTATGATTTGATTCATTTCACACTTTATATCACTCCGTTTAATTCTTTTCAGTTTCTCATTATATATTCTATTTGTATATTTCTATATATCCTCCTCTTTAGATTAACGATGATCACGAATTATAAAATTTTCTACTGATGTTCCTCACTCTCTCGTTTATTCGCTTCTCGCTAATTTGATACAACATATCCATTCGATCGCTGTACTAGGTAATGGCATTCGATTACATCGTGTAATCAGTGAAACGTTCGTTGAATGTCTTTGAGAATTTATGTTGTATTTGACATTGTCTTTATTCGAACATTAAAGCACATTCTGATTACCCACTTTCCAAAGCGGCTGATTTAACATTGTATACTCCGTTTCCACGACTCAGCCCTATCCATCGACGACCTTTCGCGTTACATTTGGACACCGCTCACCCCCCTCCATCCACACTCCATGTTTCTCTCCCATTCGTCGTCTGCGCCGCCGCCCTCCGCCCTTCCGCCCTCCGCCCTCGGCCTGGCCGCCGCCCTCCCTCGGCCCTCGCCGGCCTGCGCCTCTCCTGGCCGCCTCCCTGCCGCCCGGCCTGCGCCCTCCGCCCTCCAGCCTAACCCGGACTCTTAGTCATCGCCTCGCCTGCGCGCCTCCCTCGGTCTGCCGCCCGCCGCCGCCGCCTGCCGCCGCCGCCCGCCGCCACCGCCACCGTCCGCCTTTTGCGGCCTTCCGCGCCTCCTTCGACCGTGCGAGCCTCCAAGGCACGCGATTTGCCTCATTATCGGGCATTATGATCCCGCAGGTCGATCGCGCCCCCCATGCACGCACGCCACCCGCGCCGCGCCACGCTGCGCCGCTGCCTCGTCGTTGAATAAGGCCCGGGATTAACTATCAATTATGGAGCTTCTGAGACGGCAGCGCAGGGCGCGGCGCGCTCCGCCGCCTCCTTCGCCCCCTTCTCCCCTCTCCCTTCCTCTCTTCATCCCACCCCTCTCTCAACCCACGCCACGCGCTCGCCCCCACCCCGCCCCCTCGCTGCACAACGCGCCGCAGATCGGCTGCGATAAGTGCTCGTTCTTCTAGAAGAGGACCCTCCTAGGTACAAGGTGCAATGAAGTTTGTTGTTTGGGAAAATGCTACTTGCGAAATAATGTCATGATGACGTATAATTATAATCACAGTTGCGGCTTACAGGGATTCATATAGACTATAAATATGTATACTTAAAATCTGTTATTTTCGTTACTTGTTCACTTTTTCACTAGAATACCGAAGTTCACTATTTTTAAGTTATTACAAAAAAAGAACAACTGACGTCACAATGTGTAAATTTTATCTAAAACACTAATAATAATAATAATAATAATAATAATGATTAAAATAATTCTATAATAAATATAACTGTATACCACTATATTACTATATAAAACTATTAATGAAAACTAGAGATTGTTATATAAAATATTTCGATATCGAAAACCATCCAGATATTATGACGTGTGGTCCGTAGTTGGTAGGACACCTGGCATACTTTGGTTGAAAATACTTTAAGCAGTACAATTCAATAATCAATTACTGAATTAATGTATAACACGATACCTGAATGTGGCGTTGCCCACGAGATCGTAATCTAATGGTTTCCAAATATTTGTACTGAACAGAATATACTTTTAGTGTTTTATCATGCAGCTTATGAAAGAAAATTTGTACCTTTGAAAGCCACTGTTTTTAAAGCCAACATTTTTATGAATTTGTGTTATAATATTATTTCATTGTTGAAATTTACCTACAAAAGTGGGGTTATACCATTGGCCTTATCGTATATGTCATACAGAACAAATTTGTCCTTCGTTATTATTCTATGGAGTGGCATTACTGACGAATATTTCCGACTGATCAAAGCTAGTGCAATCATTCAGCAGGTTTGCACCGGTTTGTCCGCATCGGTTATTAAAATTATTGTGGTTAGCAGCACCAGAAAACATTATTGTGATACGCAAAGTTACGTGAAATTTATCACAATCTGTTGATAAAATTGTTGTAGCATAATATACTTCTGTTGAAATAATATTGGTATCATATGAAAGTAAATGAATTTCCTTCAAGACATCGATTTTGTGAATCAATTTACTCAGAGATAAAATCGACTTATGAGGTTCCTAGACACATTTTGAAACGCGATCTAGTTGACTTTGAAAAAAGCACTCGAGTGGTTTACAAAGTGGCTGAAAGAAAGCACGACTTCGCAAGCCAGTACCAGACTATCATTTTATGTGCTAGACCAGGGCTCATCAGAAAGACGGATCGGGAGCTGAGCGGCCACCAGGAGTCGGAGGGGAAGCAAGAGCAGTAGCAAAAGCGGAGGCTAAGGTCGCGGAGGGTAGAGGCGAACGGTCGGACGAAGAAGAAGAAGAAGAAGAAGGAGAAGAAGAAGGACAAGAAGAAGCAGAAGAAGAAGCAGAAGCAACAAGCGCCGCTAGCTTTGATAGCTCTGTGATATTTAAAACTGAACGAGATGATTGTATTGAACAAACAAACAATATAATTGACAATGGTTGATTACTGGTTGATATTTTACTTCTCATCACTGGAGGTTTGTTGGTAAGCCTCTTACTTATAGGAAAGCGTCTATTGATTGATTGATTGATTGATTGGTTGGTTGATTACTTGGTGTTTCCCGGCACGTCAACTGCTACGGTCATTTGCCCCGTGAGTACCGCGTTTGCCCCGTGAGTGGCCCCAGCTGGATAGCGAGATCGGGCACCGACTACACGACGGCTCGCTGTGTTTCCCCATCCAGATATCTCCCACCATTGGAGCATCGCTCCAGCCAGGACATAATAGAAGCTCCCGAAAGTGTGGTAGTATAGTGCATGTAAGTGTGAGTATGTGTAAGTATGAGTGAGGACAGGACAAAGAAGAGGAAGGATAGATCGCGTACGCATCGTAGCCCGTTTGTTAGGGTATTGTTCTGGCATTCTCCAGGTTTGATCGGAGAAACCACAAGAGATTATAAATCAGAGCATCCGGCCATTAATATTTTTCTGCAGATCCCGATATACCATACTAGTTAATGTCGAAAATACTGCCACCGACCGTCCGGACTCGAACCGCAGGAGTTTCCTGTGAAATACAGTTCAGTGACATCGATTCTATTACGAAAAATTGCCTTTTCAAAAAATATGGTTGACAAACAACGTCAAGTGCCACTCAAACGCATATCCAAATTTTACGAGATTCGCATTACACTGGATGGATGCATTTTTATTAAAAAAATATATTTCGTTGAAATCGTTAAAGATACGGAAATTAAAATTTATTTTAATACATCCTGTTAAGTTTAGCAACATTTAGGGTATGTATCTGCGAAAGTTCCTTTTCTAAAATTATTTATCATTTCTTTTTTCTGGCATTGGTTACAGTGTAACTGCTGTGTGAATTTCGCAGAATATTAAGTGACCGATAAACCAGTGTACACATTTTTACTTTAGTATAAACACTGTACTTTACAGTCTAAATAATTGTCGTGTTTTGTGATTAGTCTATGACAGAGTAAATTTAATTATGCAATATTCCTTTTCGGAAGGTAAACATTTTTCACAGAAAGTTATGTTGCGTTATGAATGAGAATGTTATGGATAAAAAAAGTCTCCAATGCCGTTTCAACCTTCATATTCTGTATTCTTACGACGACCTACTTCCATTCTTGGGAATTTAAATTCTTCGTTTTTAAATTTTCCTCTCGTAAGGGAAGAACAGTTTCCGTCCATCACACCCGTGCATCCTCCTCGTCCCAATTTTGCATTTCTTTCTCGCCTTTTTTGCTGTTCCTTCAAAGTATATTTTTAGATATATGGCTGCATTTAGCAGCTACCATCTTCAAAAGAAAGGTTGATCACGAGAGAAATTGGCACCAAGTTCCCGAACTTCCTTATTTTTATTTGAATATGAATATGAAATACATTAAATCTCAAAACATTTAATTCCTCTTTTCATACATTTCTGATAACTCAAAACATTGCCAAGGAAAGAGAAGTAGTTATAAGGTAGTTCAGGCTATATATTTGAAACAAAAAAAATATCATGTGGAAACTTTTATTCCACATGTATACTACAATACGTTATGGACTAAGAAAATGTTCGCAAAATACACACGAAATTTATTCAAATAATTTGAAATTTGTAATAAACGATAAAAATTTATTACGTATTTTCCTAACAAAATTGAGGTGCTCAGGATAATAACAGCCCATCCCAACCAAATTTCGTCTTGATAAAAATGATATTGTTTTCGTTCACGTTTATTTTCACTCCGGACACATTTTTGAAGGTTGAATTTAAGGGTTCTGCCATATCCCAATTCATTAGATATTTCAGCATAAGACAGCTGACAGATATATAACTGGAGTTTACCATCATACGTCTAACTGATAATTGTAGGTCTGTCCGATTTTCATCTGAGCGCCTCAGTTATGTTTTGTATTGTATCCTCCTGTGTGTGTGTGAGAACAAATAAGTTTTTTCGAGTGCGTCAATTACTTAGATCACTTCAGTGTAGTGAATGCAGGGGGTAGCGGTGTTCTTCCTTTGCTAGAGCGGAGATCCGGTGACGACCTACACGTAGTCTTGACGGGTTTTCCTTCTCTAGGAATCTCCTCCGGTGGGGTAAGCTCTTCTCTCCTGCATTTCCATCCGACTAGTGTGGCAGTGGAGTGCATGCAGACGTAAGGCGAGCGGACGGGCAAAGATGAGGAAGGAAGGAAGGATCGCACGCGGTCCGTGACCCGTTTGTTAGGATCAGTTAGGACACTCCTCCGTCATTCGCGTAGATTTGTTTGAAGAAACCTCGAAAAACTCACCCAGCAGAGCAGCCGGCCGGTAGAATTCTCCTCCAGACAACGGCTGAATTCAACCTAGCGTTCTATTAAGTTTCGAAACTTCGCAACCATCGGTTCTCGAACCCCAGGACCTACCATTCAACATTTCTACAGAATCAAGCAAAGATCAATATGGCCTCCACAATAAGTACATTCGATACGCTTAAACCTCTGCGAAAAAAGAAAGTATGTTTAAAACTGAAAAACATGCAAGTCGCACATCGTAATTGACAAATTTAGTTAGGCAAAGAGATGCACAACGTACTAAGTGATATGTTAGAAGGAAATTACCTAATATTGTTCCCGAAATGTTCTCTAAATATTTTGTGGGTTTCTAAGTAAGTAAGATCATCTATTGTCACATCACGTGTATCCTAACGAAAAGACAAATGCAAAGAGAGTTCGGAAAGAAATATCCTGCAAAAGAAAAAGCAGAGAGCAAGGTATGGTTAGTTAATTTAGTTATACATTTCGAATAGATTTTGAATTACGATAGGAATAAAATGCTGGAGAATGAAATAGGAATATAGTCTAATTAATTATTTTAAAGGCGTATTTGAGAATTTTATACAACTGAATTGGTTTCAGATTTGTAATGAAGATGTAAGTGGAAAGAAAATATTAGAGATGTTCGAAATCCCGCTGTTACTATCTAACTCAAAACTGTTGATGGAATTAAATTTCAGCAGATTTGCAACTTCACCAATCTAAGGTCAGAGGTTACGATTGTTTTACATGTAGGACTTGGTTTAAATACAATTACCAAGCCATGTGTTAAGTAATGTCGAAAACATTTTATAGAGCATAGAAACTCCAAAAATATTTATAGAATTCCCTAAATGTTTTTTCTTGACAAAAAATAGAAAATATTTCATTGCAACGTTATAAACTGTTCGTGACTTATAATTGATTTGCATTCTCCGCATTTTAATTATAAGTGTATTTTTGTGTTCTGCAATAATTACATTGTACTGTTATAATTATTATAAACGATATTTTTGTACATTGACGTTTACAGATCATCAGAGCTTCTACTCGAAAGATTATTTTATGGCTTTGTTCGCATTAAGGTACTAAAAACTTACAGACAATATCTCTTAAAAAGCAGAATATTTTGCAAACAAAGTTTTTCTTAATATACAACAAAAATTCCTCTGTATAGAATTTTATATCATTGCGAATCGCGGTTGTACATATTATATGTATTTCTGGTGTATTCTCATTTTTCCTACTGTAGTTGATACAATTTTCTCTTTAATTTCCCATCCGTTTCAATAAATACCACACGGAATATAAAATCTCTGATTTCCATCTAAAAATCGTGCAACCAACTGATCTTCTCTTGAATCATTCTGAATGAATATTAATACATAATTATTACACATAACAGTTTATGCAACTTTTTTAATTTTGACGTTATATTTATATACAATTATATATTTATATAATATTTGTTTTTTCTTTCAATCCAATCTTCCAGATTCTTCCTTTGAATGAAAGATATCATCACTTATTTTTTTTACCTCAATCGTAAATAATTATTGTGCAAATTAATTAATGTAAAATGATGCAATATATGTTTTTGTAGTCTTTTATACAGTTTTAATGCGATTGCCTGCACCCGCCAATCGACGAATCCGTCTATAGTGTGTTGTATTTCGTTTGACTCTTTAGCATCTTCGCGCGCCAAAGTCTAATCTAACTTTTAACAAAGTTAAAGTTAACTTAAATCATTGAAAGTAATATAGTTTTGCCCAGAAAGCCTGTACGACTCAAGAGGCCACCAATACCCCTTCCCAGACTGTCATCTATTGGCTTCTAAGTGACCTACTAGGACCTCTTGCGGTAACTTCCTCTCCCCGGAGACCAATTCCTATTCAAGTGCTCTCTCGTGCTTTTCGAATACCCAGCAGATGTAGCGTTAACCATCCCTCTTGATCCTGTACCATCGGATCAAGACGCTTATAAGCCTGTTGTGGCACTTATGCCCTTCTCCGTGTTTGTACTCTTCTTGTGGTTGTATGGTGCTACTTTCTCCACATTACATACACAGACAGAATGCTCTAAGATCTAACTTACAGTTACCGGTCAGGGCAAAGTATTATGAAAAGATTGCGGTGTATATATAATACAATAAAGGCTGAAAATGCTCCAGTATCATAAACACAACTGAAATCGTCCATGCCTTGTATGTAATATTATATTTGTATAAAAATAATTGTTTTTATATTTAATTAATATCATACTAGATTCTAACATTAAAAGGCCAGCCTCTTAAAGCCCATTAAAGCTTTATAAACTCGTAATGAAGGGTCATATAGAAGCGTCAAATTAATTTTACATAGGTTTCAAGTTTCTCTTCGTTTCTGAATATTCATGAATGATAGGGAATGTTGTGAATGATAATTAACAGAAAAGAAAACAAATATCCAATAATGCAACAGAAGGTTCAAAAGGGTCTTAGTTATCGTAGAATACTGCTTAAAAATCATATCTTGGGATACACCTGTGCTCCGTATGTTTCGCTGCTTGTTTACCCACAAGTCACCTGCATGTTTCCTGCTTGTTCCTCCACATGAACTCCTTGTTTCTGTAATGACCCCAGTATATTTCCTTACATGTTCTTTACCACATGTTTTGCTGTATATTCTTCCTTACGCTAACCGAGCTTTTTAATATATT